AGGCCAATGGCATGGTTAGCCGGCTGCTGCTGGCATTGCCACCCAGGCACTCACAGCCATCATTGCTGCTAGACGCCTGCACTGTCATCATTAACACCGTCTCTGAGCATCCCTATGTTTTTATGTCATTCTCTAATGGCTCAGATTTTTGGGCAGGATAATCTGATTCACCAATGTCAATTACCATCTAGCTCAGAGAAGGCAGGGAGAAGGATTCTCTGGCTCTGGGCTGGGATTGCCCCAAGATTCATACAATGAATCTTTCCAAATAGGTAGGATGTTTACACATGGGATTGCTAAAAAAGAGGGGCAGATGCCCACTATAGTATATTACTACTACTACTACTACTACAATAATGTCCCAAATTAAGCTGCAGAGTTTGTCTAAGACACTAATTGCCATGAGAAGGCATTACTTTTATAATAAAAAGAAAAAGAATCCTTTTCTTTTTTTGCAAAAGATAGATATTTTGTGTCACACAATATGGATCAGAATATATTTTACTTCTCACAGTACAGATGGAAAACAAGGTTTATTTGGTAAAGTTATAAGCCAAAGGTCAGTAAAAGAAGGCAGGAGTAGCCCATTCTCCTGTCATTCCCCAGGGAAGTGTACAGCAGGACACATAGTGGGTCTCCATTTCTAAGGAGGGAAGTCACCCCCTCATTTACTCTTTTTCTTACAGGTCCAACTTTGCCAGTAAGGTAAAGTGGGACTCCTTGAGTACTGGACAGTAGTAATTGAGACTTCCAGGAGTTATCCCAAAAAGCTAGTTTTCAAGAAAAAAAGGAGTTTCCCAGTGGGTAGAAGGGGGTCAGTGAAGGAGAGTGTGGGTCATGACACTGGGGTAAGATGATTGCAAAGGGACACAGACAGAGTAGTGGCAGTTTCCAGGGAATCAATGAGGTCAGCTTGGGACATGCTGAGTCCTGAGCACATGAGTTGCCCCAGTCAAGGTGAGGATCCCAGCTGCACACTTACAGCAGCCCACACTTTTCTTTTGTATTGCTTATCTTAATTGCAATTCAATCAATAATTGCATAATTAAGTTTTGAATCTCTGCTCTGGATTTCAAGCTCCCTGAGATCATAATCCAGGTCTAACCACTTCATTCCTGTATCTCCAGCACCTGGCACAGAGTTAGGCATGGCATAGGTAACAAAAAATGTGTTGAATGAATTAATAAATGTGGAGCTATGAAGCAAGTGTTTGGATATATGGGTAGAAAATGAGAAAAAGACCTAGGATGATGCTCTTAGGAAAGTTCCAGGTGGGTTGAGAAACATCAGAGTCCAAGTAGAACCCTGGGAAACACCATCACCCAATGGGGGCAAGAAAGAGGAGCTGCCAGAGAGGTTGGCAGAGAACTAAGAGAGCTAAGGAAGGAGAGAGTATTAAGCCTGGAGAAGTCCATAAAGTCAAATGCTTCTGAGAGGTCTTGTAAGATGAGAACAACTGACACTTACAAAGCACTTATATGTTAGGCACTGTTAACTCAGTTCTCACGACAGCAGTGCCAGGCAGGTGTTATCATCATTGTTCCTCACCTAAGATGAAAATAACAAGACACAGAGAAGTCATGAGGTAGGAAGTGGGGAGGAGGCATATATTTTGAACCCAATATATCCGGTTCCTGAGTTTGTGCTCTTCACCATTATATATGCTGCCTCAGAGAAGGGTCATTGGTAACATTGGCAGGAACAATTTCAGTGGCGCTGTGGGGCAAAGGGACATAACTGATTTTAAAAGTGAGTTAGAAGCCAGAGGGTCAAGACCAGAAGTCCAGTCCTTTGCTACAGAGAGTGAGTCACTTCCCATAAGCCCCAGCCTGATCTTCTAATCAAACTGTGCATTTTCACAAGTTCTCAGGTTGTTCGTGTGCACAGTGAATGCTGAGACCTGTGAGACTAGATGATCTTTCAGGAACTTTGGCTGAGAGGAGGGAAGAAGGGAGTGAGACAGAGGGATTTCCTTTTGGATGGAGAGACTTAAACATGTTTGTTAAGAGAATAGTGGCTTGCAAACCCATAGCACATTAGAAGCACCTGCTGGGGTGCTGTTTAAAATGACCAATTCCCTGAGGCCCATCTATATAAAAGCTGTCTGTGTGACCCAGGTGATTCTAATAAGGGGTGAGGGTAGAGATGAAGATGCATCCAAGGGGAAGGCACAAGTAAGGAGGGATCCAGTAAATGATGCATCAATGAAGGCCACCTTCGGGAAATGGGAAGGGTTGGGATGAGGATGAAAAAGTGTTTTAGGGAAGGAGGAGAAGCATTAACAGTAAAGCAGAGAATAAATTTGTAGAGGGTTGGGACCAGCAAGAAGATAGACACTTGAAAGGAATCATAATGGAGAGCCATGAATGGTTAATTGATTTCTTACATTTTAACTAGGGCATGCATGGTATGGCAAGAATGGTACTTTAAAAACTTAAGTCAGATGGTAGGCTCAAAGCCTTGCAGTATCTTCCCATCACACGTAGCTTACTAGGCCCTTGGTAATCTGACCTTGCTGACTTCATTCTCTGCTCTTCACTGACCTCCAGCACACCAGGCTCTTCAATGCTCCTTTTTTGTAGGAACGTGCTCCTGCCTCAGGGCCTTTGGACATGCTATTCCCACCTATAAGCTCTTATTCATTAAAATATTCACATGGCCTGCTCCCTCACTTCAGGTCTTCTCTGATGTCCTCTCCTCAAAGAGGACTTCCCTCATCACTCTCTATCCCCTTCGTCTACTCAATATCATGCCATAAACATACTTATTTGTTTGAGGTCTGCCTCCTTTACCAGAATTTAAGCTCCAAGTGAACAAGAATTTGTCTTGCTTACTATGAAATATCCACCACCCAAAACAGTGAGTACAGAGGTGGCACTTGCAAAAAGTTTGATGAGTGAATAAATGCCTGCTGTTGCTAGGTGAAAATGAATCGGATGCTGAGATGGAAAGATATTGCTGAGAGTGCCCGAGGAATGTGATTAGCCAGGGAGATTGTGAGAGAATGAGATGATTGAAGACAAGTAAATGGGCATTTCTGTTGTTGTTGTTAATCCTCACCTGAGGATTTTTTCCCCATTGATTTTTAGAGAGAGTGGGAGGAAGGGAGGGGGAGGCAGAGAGGGAGAGAAACATTGATGTGGGAGGGACACATCTACTGGTTGCCTTCCTCACACACTCCAAGCCTGGCTGGAGATCGGACCTGCAACCAAGGTAAGTGCCCTTGACTGGGAATTGAACCTGCGACCCTTCAGTGTGCAAGCTGACATTCTAACTACTGATCCACACTGGCTGGGGCTAAATGGGCATCTTTAAGAGTCTTATCAAGGAGTGAGTGCAGGGTTGCAATGACAGGCAAGACAGTTTCCCTGTGTGGCTAAGAACATGGTTTCTGCACAAGACCATCTACTTTGTGTGGCTCTGGGTGAGTTTGTTCATCTTTCTAAGCCTCAATTATCCCATCGTGGGGCTGACAACCATAGTACTTTCCACCTAAGGTTGTAATGAGCTGATAGCCGTAGAGACCTGGACAGAGGTTAAGCTCTCAAAAAGTGTTAATTATGATGATCCAAAATTAGGGGAATAATGTGAAATGTTGCAATGCAAAAAGATATTTCTGTAATTTTTCTAAGCGTTGGTCCAAAAATGTTCTACCCTGGAATAGACTTGATGTGTTACCTTGCCCCAACCATACTCCCATACAAACATAGCCAACCCTATCACCAGACTTTTCTCCTTTCTGATGACTCTCCTGAGAGTTAGCCTAGAACCATGGTACAGTAAGTTCTCCATAAATATTTGTGGATGTTCACTGCACTTCTCTCAAACAGTGCTTAGGAAAGTCTCAATGTGGCATGGGAGAGATTAGTGTCTGCAGCCTCCTTAGGGGATGTCAACACTGAGAAATAAGACAGCTACCAAAAAGGATTCTTGGTGACAAACTGGGCTGAAATGTAAAAATACAGCCTAGCAGCTGTTTCTAACTGGGCCTCCCATGCAAACCAGCTTCAGGGAGAAGCTTGTATTAAACTTCCCGCAGCCTGCACCAACTTGCCTGCCTGCACTTTCTGCCAACTGAACCAGCCCTTATAAAGGAGTTCCTGGAATTGTATTTCAACCAATAGGACTGAAACTTTTCCTGTCCAATGGGAGCCATACAGTTAGAGCTTATTAGCATCTTCACTAACCAATCAGAGCAGCTCCATTCCAACCAATCAGGACAGTGGTTTTTGGACCAAACTGAGGATTTGGGTCCTTATTCAAATGAGAACAGACCAACCAGGGACCAGGGGAGGAACTTCTCTCAGTATATGTCAGTTTTCCACTGATTGGGAGAGCCTGTTTTCCCTTATGGTTGGAGGCTGCAGGTTGAGGTTTCCTGGTTGGAGCTGAACCGCCAAAGGTCTCTTGCTAGGGCAGCTCACAGCAGGGTGAGTTGGAGCAGACCAGCTTGAACCAGCCCAGAGCAGAGCTGTCTAGCCAAAGAGGGGCTTTACCCCAGGGCAGCCTCCTGCCGGGGTCAACCTCACAGCAGTGCTATTCCATAACAGCTATAACACTATTGAGCTGCTCCATAGTCACGCTGTTCCATAGATGTGCTGTATCCCGATTGAGCTGTTTGCATCGAATGAAGTTCACTTCTTTATTATACCCCAAACTGGGGATTCCTGTTGGTGTTGAATTGATGCCAACACCTGCGGGTTCACAGGGGAAATGGGCTAGTTGGAAAGACAACGTTATGTGAGCTGGCATAGTAAACAGGTGGCTCTATAGAAGGGAAGTGAGCTTCGTCCAATAGAACTTCCCTAACGAGTCATCTGTATCCAAGGGTGGCCGAGGCCAAAAGTGGCGGAGTCTTTGGCTCCTTTAAGAGGCACGGCGTTGCTGTAGCCCGCTGAAGGGAGTGATTGGTTGAAGCTGCCTGACTGCGCGACTCCGTTGCTAGGGAGCGGCGTGGGAGTCCTGGGGGAACTGCAGCGGCTGCGCAGAGGAGCCTGGGGCTTGCTGGGGCCCGGGGCTGTACAACGGCGCCGGGGTGTGGGGAGCGCCACGCAAGCCCGTGCAATTCCCAGTCGGGAGGCGCCCTCGCCGTTGTGGCCTTGCTGGGTGGGCGCTTCCGCCTCGCCGCCGAGCAGGGCCCCAGTGACGCCGGCAACATGGGCCAGTGCGGCATCACCTCCTCCAAGACTGTGCTAGTGTTTCTCAACCTCATCTTTTGGGTGAGCGGAGCCGGTGGGCGGAGAAGGGTGAGGGGCGGGCAGTAAGGCCTTGGTTGAGGCGCCTGAGTGGCCCGGAGGGGACTGCAGCGGTGACCTGGGGTCGGGGTGTTGAGGCCCTGCGACAGAGGGGCGGGGAGGGTGAGGTCCCTCCCAGGCCGGGAGAAGGCCCGGTGCGTGGAGGGCGAGGAAGGGAGCCTCGGGGGTTTCAGGCGGTCTCAGCGTTCGGGCCTGAGCGCTCGGCTGGCTGCCGGCCGGGGACTCGCGGAGGGTCTGGGCCCAGCCTTCGGTACTCCCCCGGAGCAGCCTGCTGGACCGAGAGCTTTCGCTGCAGATTCGTTCAGGACCTCCAAAGGGTCAGGCTCCGCTTTCGTTGTCGGCTTGCAGCTCCAGTGCCAGTCCCGAGGCGTGTGAGCAAACGGTGCACATATGCGGGGACGCTGCCAACTCAGGGTGAGGACTTTGACTTAGAGCTCTTTGTGAACGGAGAACTGGTTGGCTGGTTAGCAGCCTGAAAACTGAATGGCTTCAACTTAATAAGTCAAATAATCCTTTGACCAAGAAAATCAAACTGTTGGTTTCTGCCTTGGTTAAATATGATTCGGAGGTCACAAGATTTTAAAAGCGATAAGTTCACTTTTAATAAAAGGTGGCTTATGAATTTAATTAACACACATCCAAAGAAAGGGTTGTTTATAACCACTTCATCTTAGTTGAGGTCCTTATCTCACTACGGACTTTTGTAATAACCTGTGTTGCTACTATCAGTCTCTGTATCCTCTAGTCCATCTGGACCTTGCACCTGAATAAATCTTATTAAGCATTCTTCCCTAGAATCACTTTATTTAAAAAACAAACAAAACCCCTAAACAAATTTCAGCAGTAAAGTAAGGTTCAACCTCCTCCTGGTATTGTAGCTGATGTCCTCAGTCACTTTTCCTTCCTTATGACTGGTCATATTCTTAAACACTTGCTGCCCTGGACAGACTTCTCTTTCCACAGTCCCCAGGACATTCCAACATTCCCACTTCTCATATTTTTGTATGTCCCCATTCAACTTCTTCCCTCACACACACCTAATTTGGAAAAAATCCTTTTCTTCTTACAACTCCCATCTCCCCCCCAACTGCCCACCAAAAGGATGAAACTTTTTATATCCCCACTGTTGTAGCATAAAAGGATAATTATATATAATAGAGCACCTATACAAACACACATGCATTGTCTTAGAGTCTTTTAGGGTATTTATGGTGTGATGGAAAGAGTCCTGACTGATATAGTACCTATTCAAAATCTCCCAAGTGACACTGGGGTTTTCATGAAAAGACTTTCTTTTTTAAAAAATTCGTTGTTGACACTATTACAGATGTCCCCCATTTCCTCCCCTTTACCCACTTCCACCCAGCACAACCCCCCCTCCCACCATCACTATGTTCATGACTTCTTTCCCAATTAGTGTTTCTCATAATTTAGTTTGAGTTACAAGCCTTTTTAAAAGTGAACTTCAAACGAGAAACACTCTATTATTAATAAGATACTTAGGCAGAGACTTGACTTTGTACCCTTTAGTTTTTTGTGATTTTAAAGGGCATAACTATTTGATTTTGAAGAATAATCTATCAGATGAATTCTAGGCTATTTAAGCTCAGGGACTAGAATTGTTAATGTAATAAAAGATTGGAAATATAGGAGCCATTTTCTTTAAATAAATAGTTAGATTTTTATTTACTCTTAAGTAGCAGTTAATTCTAAGTGATTGCTCATGAATTTTTGGAAATTGTGTTAATATATGTACTCTTGGTACTTTCTTCAGTGAAAAAGGCTATGTTGAACTTCCGTTGTGCATTTCATAGTGGGTTTTTGCCATGCCTAAAGTCATACTGAGTAGTAAAGACACCCTTTATCTAGGTTAGCAAGGGTAGTAAAGGTTTTGTGAGCGGTGATAAGGAAGTGAAGCAGACATGCAGGGGGAAAAAATTGTAGCATAGAGCAGGTTATTGCAACCTAATTTATGAAAAAACAGTATTACTAGATGTGTCTCCCACCAAATGTTTAGTTTAGGAACAAGCATTGGAATTTAATGATGCTGGTAATCATAACTAACATTTGAGTGCTTATTATACCTAGGCACTGCTAAGCACCTAACATGGATTGTCCTCACATCGACTCCATCTGGCAGGGAATATTATGCTTATTTTACAGATGAGGAAATTAAGGGTTACTGAATTAAAAGTATACTCAAGGTGTGTCAGAGCCTGCGTTCAAACTCAAGGTGTCCTATTCTTAGAGCTCATGGTGTTAGGGCAGAGTGTGATTTCAAAAGATTTAGAAAGGCAAAAGATATCATTAGGCTACATTAGAGTCACTTTCTCTAAAACATACTGATTTTAACCTTGTTTAGAACCTATATCAGCATTTAAAATGCACTATTTAACTTGTCAGTTTAAAAAATTAGGCCATTATGGGGAAGTACATAAAACAGATGTTAACTGGTTCTCCCTGGGAATTTGTAATGCATTCTTCAGTTCTAGTAAGTGTATCCTTATATACTGGCTCCCTCCCCCCTTTTAAAGCCTTAATGAATAAGTGGAAGAATAAACATTCCCTGCATAGGGCATATTAAAAGTTTATTTAGATTCCCTTGGGCAATTTTTAACTCTGTTGTATCGCATCCTCACTATCAGGTGATAATGGCTGATTGTGGATAAGTATTGAAGCTTAATTGCTTTGCCAAGATCTTTAAACTGCACCTTTTAATATCTTGATATCCTGATTCAATTGGCAGTTTGTTCAATGAGTTGTGATGTGGAAATAGTATATACCTGACATATGTAGGCTCCACACTACGTTGACTTAGTCTAGATTATTTTGGACAGTGCAGTCTAAGAAAGTTTCTGTGGAAAGGCACACACTAAAAGAGGAAACCACCATTCCTAAAATCCTAAAGGTTGTCTAATGGAAACAGAGTTCCTCATCATATTCCAGAATATTAGGGATTGTGGCTTGAAAGATAATTTTGGGCAAGTGAAAGGATGTACAACTTGGATCTCTGTTTTTATGGAGTGGCATAGCTTAAAATGTAGGTATATTAGCGCTAGACCCATGATGATTTATGGAGGGTGGTTAGTAGTGTTTGGTACATGACTAAGTATTGAATGCTGTTGAAGCAGTTATTAACTGCACCTTTGTACCAAGGTCAGACAGGATTCTTACTTGGGTGGGTCACTTGATCTGACCCAGGAGGCCTCATCTAAAACAAGTGTAAATCAGTACTTTTTAATTTTCAGATTTTTATTCTGGTAAAGTTATTTGAGTACTTAATCATGTTCCACGTTATGCAGATTACCTTTACTTATTCTATCCTACAATGACTATAAAAAAACCAAATAGAGAAAAAGTAAAAATTGAGCATAATTAAGGAACATGACCTAGGGGATATCATCAGAGTAATAGAGGTGTAAAAGGATTAAAATATTTCTTCTTTAGCCTTGCTCAGTGGTTGAACATCAATGTATGCACCAAGAGGTTGCCAGTTTGATTCCCAGTCAGGGCACATGCCCAGGTTTCAGGGTCGTTCCCCAGTTCAGGGTGTGCAAGAGGCAGCTGATAGATGTTTCTCTCTCATTGATGTTTCTATCTCTCTCTCCCTCTCCCTTCCTCTCTCTATAAATCAATAAAACATTTTTGTTTTTTTAAAAAAAGAATGATGGCAATATCCACAAGACACCTATGGCATAAGACCACCTTTGAACATTGGGAGATATAGCAAATGTGCCCAATACACAGAAACAAATACAGAGAGGCAGCCAAAATGGGGAGACAAAGAAACATATCCCAGATGAAATAACAGGAGAAATCCCCAGAAAAAGAACTAGATGAACTGGAGGCAAGCAATCTACCAGATACAGAGTTCAAAACAATGGTTATAAGGATGTTCAAAGAACTTAGGGGAAGAATAGATGAACTCAGTGAAAACTGAAAGAGATAGTAAGCATAAAAAAAAGACATAGAGCCCGGCTGGGCATGGCTCTGCGGTTGAGCATTGACCTAGGATCCAGGCGATCGGGGTTCGATTCCAAGTCAGGGCACATGCCTGGGTTGCAGGCTCGATCCCCAGTTGGGAACGTGCAGGAGGCAGCCAATCAATGACTCTCTCATCATTGATGTTTTTATCTCTCTCTCTCCCTCTCCTTTCCTCTCTCTGAAATCAATAAAGATATATTTTTTAAAAAAGACATAGAAACCATAGAAAAGAATAAGTTAAAAATAAAGAATACAGTATCTGAAACAAAGAACACAAGTAGAAGGAATCAACAGCAGGTTAGATGAAGCAGAGCAATTAGGGTGACAAGGTAAGGTAGCAGAAAACACCCAAGCAGAGCAGCAAAAAGAAAAAAGAATTAAAAAAATGATGATAATCTAAGGAACCTCTGGGGCAACATCAAGCATAGCATCTACATCATAGGAGTACCAAAAAGAAAAGAGAGAGAGAGCAAGGAATTAAGAACCTATTTGAAGAAATAATGACAAAAATGTCCCTAACCTGATGAAGGGAAAAGACGCATAAGTCCAGGAAGAGCAGAGAATCACAAACACGATGAACCCAAAGATGCCCAGACCAAGACACATCATAATTAAAATGGCAAAGGTTAAAAACAAATAGAGACTCTTGAAAGTGGCAAGAGAAAGACAGTTACCTATATGGGAGTTCCCTTAAGACTGTCAATGTCAACTGATTTCTCAATGGAAAAATTTTAGGCCTGGTGAGACTGGCATGAAATATTCAAAGTGTTGAAAAGCAAGAACCTATAACCAAGATTACCCAGAAAGTCTATCATTTAAAAATGGAGGAAAAAAATTGAAGGAGAAATAAAGAGCTTCCCAGACAAGAAAAAGCTAAAGGAGTTCATTACCACCAAGTCAGTATTATAAGAAATGTTAAAGGGTATTTTTTTAGAAGAAGAAAGGAAAAAAATAGCATAATTATAAAGAATAAAATGGCA